TCAGAGAAAGGCTCCTGCAGCAGGGAAAGGCTCTGGCAGTGGGGAGAGGCCCTGGTGGGACTTTCCCCACCACAGGGAGCTGCCAAAGCCTTTATTTACCAGAGTGTAAGATTCTGGCAGCAGGGGAACGTTCCTGCAGCTGCCTCCCCCTGACAGAGCCTTATACACTGGTGCTGGCCAATGGGAATTGCTACACAGATATGCACACACACACACACACACACACACACACACGCGCATGTGTGCATGCAAAAGGGGCACGTGCCTCAGGGCCCCACGATTCAAAGGGGCCGGGACTCCTGCCTGCCATTGCTACCACGGCAGTGACAGCAGCTGGAGCCCCAGACCCTTAAAATGGCTGCCAGAACACCACGCAGAATGTTTTGGGAAGGCTGCTTGGGGAGGCAGAGGCGTTGGGAGGATGCAACACTGCAGTCTGGGGAAGCATTGAGGGCTGGCTGTCCCTAGCACTGCCCCTTTCACCAGAGCTACAAAATGTAGTGTGGACGCAGCCTGGTCTTCACTGCTGCGTGTGGCTTCACTGCTGCCATGGGGTGCAGTCACGCTTTTAGAATGCAGAGACTATTATTTTAAAGTGCATGAATCTTACTGGTAACCCAGTTGTAATCCAGTTTTCCATGATTGTTTTCTTCTTCTGACCCCAATGCCTGAAGAGCAAGCTGAAGTTTCTTTCGATGCAGTGGATGCTTTATTCCAAGTTCCTGTGAAGATAAAGAACTCAAAGCATTTAATGTCTAGTTCAGCAGCATATGGTTTACACAGAATCAAAATATAAAAATAAATCAAAATCCTTTTTACACAAACACACACACACAGGAACTCCAACACTACAGGCTAAATGTTGCAGCAATTGCTATTGAAATTAACAAGTATTGTGCACGTGTATCAGAGGACAAATCTGGTTAGGTGCCTAAATTCACAGTGAAGCACCTACTGAGCACAGCTTGGTGTTTGTTGAGCAACCAAACGCCCTAGGATGTCAATGGGTCTGCAGTTGCACTTCTGAAAATCTGGCTACTTAGTTGCATGCCTAATGGATTGAGACACCTCATCTATCTGATGATTGTTAGTCCTAATATTCTTATATGGGGAAAACATAGTCTATTCATTACATCGTGGTTGTATCCAGCATAATATTTTAAGGGATAAATATACCGATCTATCTACCTAAGACTGAGACAGGTACGGATGCAGGTTAATTAGTTATCAGCTTCAAAGACCATTTTGTTTTTTTTGAAAAACTGATACCAAATGTAAACACTGGCAAGGGCACCATTTCGGGTGAGAGGGGCGAAGGGGTGGCAGCAGCCGTGTGTACCGGGATGTGGTTTGCTTTTCTTCCCATTCCCTGATAAGGGAATGGGGGGGAAGGACATGGCTTCTGTGCATGCCTCTGACTGCTGGCTGGTGAAGGGAGGGGACAGAGGAGTAATTCACAGAACCCAAGTACCTTTCCCTTGCTCCCTTATTGTCAAGGGAATGTGAAGAAAAGCAAGCTGCGTCCCAGTACTCTTGGCTGCTGCCCCTCTCTATCCTCCGCTCTCCCAAAATGGGGCCCTTGAACACTGAGCTCTAATTCACAACTATACAAAGTGGCAAACAACCAGATCAGAAGAGTAGCATTTCACTCCCACTCACTCCTTTACCTGAATGTATTTTTAAACGTAACATGTGGAAGCAGGGGCGGCCCGTGAGCCTAGGCAGACTCGGCGGTCACCTAGGGTGCCACCGGCCTTGGGCGCCCGATGATGATGTCATTGGACGCCCGATGATTACATCACGGCCATTGATGGCCATGCAGGCAGGGGTGCTGATCGTACCTTCTGCCTGGGGCGCCAGCTGCCGCAGCCAGCCTCGGACCGCTCCTGTGTGGACGAGTTAGTTGATGTGCCAACGTTTATTTTGATTAAAATCATAAATTTCATTACCTCTTATTATAGAAGAGTAAAGTCATACTAAAGGTCAGCACAAAACAATTGTTTTGCATTACTACAGACAAATGTATTTTAACAATTCACTTGCTGGTCTTGTTCGCTTTTACATGCTGCATCTCCTAGTCCTGACTTTTGCACATACATAATGTACACCAAGGCTTAACATTTATCGCAATAGAAATTAAGGATGTTAAATAGCGACTAATTGAGTTATCGAATAGTTGATGTATTTGACATCGACTATTCAATTAGTTGATAGGGTGATTCTGCCTTTGAAGTGTAGCAACAGCCCTAGAGCTGTTGCTACACTTCAAAGGCAAAAGCTCGGTGTGGAGCCCAGGGTCTGGCCCCAGGCTTTAAGCGGCACTGCTGCTTTGAAGTATACCCTCCTCTCCCCCCCCCCTTCCTGCCTCTTTTTGGGGAGAGACTAGTCGACTAGAATTTTGACTATCCAATAAGCATTTGTTAGTTGACTAGTTTACTAGTTCTTCACATCCCTAATAGCAATATTTTCCTAACATTTCTTACCTTTTCCAGATCCTGCTGAGAAGCTTGCAAGAGAGTCTGCCCAGACAGTATCCAGTGTTTCCCATGATTCATGTATGAACCTAAACCCTGATTCTGAAGCCAGTTGCAAACTTGCTCCTTTGTCCATTTAGCAAATGGCATATCGAGGTCACTAAAGCAGAAGAAAATTTTAAAAAATACTTGTATTACAAATTCATGGGTGTTTTTTGAGAGCTCAAGCCACACATAGGCAAGATTAGTGTCTGTATTATTGAGACTCTAAGTTATTTGGGAAAAGGTACGTCTACTGCGCTATGTTTATATAGTGCTTAGCAAAATGGGATCCTGATCTCAGTTGTTGTGTCCGAGATGATGTTGGCTATTATTCACCATCATGATCAAACTGAGTGTTCCAGGATGGCTACAACTTTAAAATGACTGAAATATTTTGTTTACTCAAGATAACTAAAGATACTCTAGTGACCTATATTACAATGAAGGCAACCAATCAGCTTATGCCATGACCGAGGCCTTGATCATCTTTAAATCTATGTGGCACCTGCACTCATGTACAGACTTGGACTTTACAGCTTATAAAAGAGGAGACTCGGGGGTGATATGATAGAGGACTATAAAATCATGACTGGTGTGAAAAAAATGAATAAGGAAAAGTTATTTACTTGTTCCCATAATATAAGAACTAAGGATCACCAACTGAAATAATAGGTAGCAGGTTTAAAACAAACAAAAGGAAGTTTTTCTTCACACAGCGCACAGTCAACCTGTGGAACACTTTGCCAGAGGATGTTGTAAAGACCAGGACTTTAATAGGGTTAAAAAAGAGCTAGATAATTCACAGAGGTTAGGTCCTTAGCCTCTGTTTATCTGAAAATGGATGACAGGAGAGGGATCATGTGATGATTACTTGTTGGGCTCACTCCCTCTGGGGCATCTGGCATTGGGCACTGTTGGCAGACAGGATACTGGGCTAGATGGGCCTTTGGTCTGACCCACTATGGCTGTTCTCCACAGATCGGATCCAGAGCCCGTTCACCTGAAATCCCACTGCAGTCAATGGGACTACATTCGGGTCTGAGATTCCATCCAGATGACTTACACTGCAGGACTGCGGGGCACATACTTAGTGCATTGAATTCCTGACCATCTTCTTAAGGAGGACAATGTCCCAAAGAGCCAGGGCTTGCCCATTTCCTTTTGCTAACAATGCTAACATTACTCTCACTTAAGAGGAACTGTGCTTTGTAACAGTTAATAGAGCAGCAAAATGAAAATCTTCTACAGGGGCAAATAAAAGTGAGAAAGCACTGTATGTTCTGGTTCAGTGCAGTTCCTCTTACTTAGACTGTCCAAGGTCTCGAGACCAGCCTAGTCTTGGTCCTGCAGTTGCTCTTGTCCCTCCTCTTTTGAATTCTGCTTCAGACATATCATCCGGGTTAAATGTGGTAGACTGACTCCTTTTAAGCCTAAGTAAAAAAGGCAGAGAACATTTAATAATACCTTTGTTCAAATAATAACCAGGAATAAATCTCTTTATTGTTGCAACCACAGACTACACCATGGAGTTTTGAAATAAGTTGCAATAAATTTTGCACTTTTCCATCTTCATTAATTTCCATTAGGTCTATTTTAAAAACTGGCAGAGTCTAGACCAGAGCTACTAGGTTGCAGAAAAGGAGGGGGAAGATTTTCAAGAGCTTAGGACAAAGAAATAGAGAGATAAAATCAAAAACGCAATAGGTATGGCAGAGAGTTTGTGGTATGGATTACTATTTACAGTAAACTTCTGATAATCCGGCACCTTTAGGACCCAGGGGGTGCCGGATTATCAAATATGCCAGACTATCGGAAGGGGGGACTATGAGGGGTGGGGGGATGTCACCCCAGACCCTTCATAGCCCCCCCTTCTGATAGTCCGACTCTGCCCCAGGCATCCCTGATTCAGCCACTGCTGGTCAGTTGCAGCTGTGGCTGAATCGGGGACACCTGAGGCAGAGCAGCTGGGGTGCTGCTGGGTTGATCCCGCAGCGCCGAGGAACGGCGTTACGGGACCAACCCAGCAGCATCCCAGCTGCTCTTCCCCAGGCATCCCCAAGAGCAGCTGGGATGCTGCCGGGTTGGTCCTGCAGCCCCAAGGGGCAGCACTATGGGACCAACCCAGCAGCACCCCAGCTGCTCTGCCCCCGGCTTCCCTGATTCAGCTGCTGGTCAGTTTCAGCAGCGGCTGAATCGGAGAAGCCGGGGAAAGAGCAGCTCCAATTGTCTGGCAGCCAGAGCACTTCCGGGTTCCTGATTGTGCCAGACCATCAGGAGTGCCGGAGCATTGGATACCGGACCAATGGAGTTTTACTGTACTAGAAACAGTGTGAGAATACCAAATCATTCAACCTAAGCCACCAAAGACTTTATTATGTCCAGCTTGAGCTACACGTCTGGTGACCTAGAGATGAAAGGTTACATAGCTCATTAGCAATCCCCCTAATGATCCAACCCCACACGATGTTCACTTTTTAAAAAACAAAACTTACCTTCCAAATAGTTTCTTGATTCCGCTGGTCTTCTTCTTGGAGTCAGGAGAAGAGGGAGACATCTGCCCACTGTCCGTTTCTTTCGGTCGAGGGGGCAAACCAGCTAGGTCCAAGTGATCTGCAAATCCCTTTTCTGTTTCAGCTATTTTGAAACAAACCCCAGTTGAATTTCACCTGGCAGAACTTCACCTGCATTTCACATTATGAGCACACTACTGAAGCCTGTAACCACTGTGGCTGGAATTACGGTGAACCATAGATTTAAGAAAACAGGGGGATCCCAAGGAGATAAAATGTGCTTCTTTCAGTGGTAATAGTGTCTGAAAACTGGTAGCACCCCAAAACCTCAGTATGTTGCATTCATTAAGTACCTTGCATCAGAAGAGCACAAGATACTTTATGAATCACTAATAAATTAAAGCCTCTAACAACTTTGGCAGGGAAGTGTTATCTTCCCCATTTTATAGATACACTGAGGCACAAGGAAGCCTGGCTCGGCTAGGAGTAGTACCTAAAGATACTCTAAGCACTGTGAAGCATTTCCTCACCAGTGTCCTTGATAATAAAATGTAATTTCTGATTCGATTCCCATTTAGCAACAGCCATCTCATTCTAACTCAAAAATGCAAATGGAAAAAGAGGGCCTTATGCTTGAGCACATAGCAGAATATTTTGCTCTTTCACAGGCAAGTACCATGCACTTTGGGGTTGTGTCCTGACTAAAAAGCCCCTGCTTCTTATTTTACGAGTCCAAGGATGGACGTATCTAATACTCAGGACTGCACGGGGAAAAAACATGTTACCATTCCTGATGCAAATCTTACGTCTTTATCCTGTGTTTGTCTACAGACTTCACATCCAGTCCAGGTAAACCTGGGGACTACTCAAGAAAGTACTTGGCAACCAAAATTATAAAATGAAAAGCAAATAAACAGAAAAAGGTGCTACATAGGTGACTGAACAAACTGCAGAAACTTCTACGTAAGCAGAGGTGAGCCAGCAAGTGCCATACAGCTGTGGGCAAACAAACAACGAGGAGTTTGTTTACATCACTTATTTGCTAATGGAAGCTTAAAACAAAATGGTAGAAGAATGAATATAAATCTACTGCTTGAGCCTCATAAAGTGAAGCAGCCATAGCTAAAATGTAGCCCCTGGAGTCCACAGAACGGTTTGTGGCCACCGTCATCATCTTTAACATGACGGACAGCTACCGGTACCATCATTGGTTTTAAAAAATAAACTTTGTATTGCCTTTCAAGAGAAACCAATGTTCACAAAGCAACTGCAAGTCGTTTGGACCAAGATGGAGCATGATACATTGCGAGCTATAGTTCAATATAGGTTGAACCTCTCTAGTCTGGCACCCTCAGGACCTGATTAATGTTGAACCTGATAATTTGTTGAACCACAGGAGGTCAATATTATCTAGCTGCATTACCACCACTTCCACTGCTTACTGGGCTCTTAGAAGACATTTAGGGTTGTAGCTAAAAAACAGCCCACTGAGAGCCAGGAATGTAAACAAACTTTATGGGACCACAGAAAACTTGGCCACACCCATGAGAAGTGGACATCCAGCTAACTAAAATCATGTTGAACCACAGATGTGGCCAGACCAGAGAGTGCCAGACTAGAGAGGTTCAACCTGAACCACAGTTAAAGGATTAAGGTGGCTCCAATTTGCTCCAATTAATACAAGTTAGGCATGACCCTGTGGCTCCTAGGAACTCAGCAGTGTGGTCATTAACTGGACAAAAAGTTGATGCCCTAGTAAAAGCTCATTTAGAAGGTCCCATTTTAGCAACAGCTTCTCTAGTGGCCAAAAATGAAAAGAGGCAACTATATAATGTATTTTAACAAGTGCTTTCTAAGCATTCGTGATGGGTGAACAAAGTGTTTGGTGCTGGAGGACACAGCTACTGTACAGATAGGGTATTTTAGAAAGGCATCTAAACCTAGGGGAAAAAACCTACATTTAAGCAGCATTCTTGGTGGGAAATACCAGAAGACGGTTGATCGAATCAGAGGCAGAGGTTTGTGGGCACTAGAATGCCTGTACGCTCCATTTCCTTAAATCTTTGAAATAATCTTTTAGAACAGCTATTTTAGGAAAGTGATATTTGGAAATTGGAACACTAATAAAAACCAAGGAGTCTGCCTCTGTTTCTGTCATATCTTAGGACCATATTTGGCTTCAGTTATGACTGGTTTAAAATGCCAAGGGTGTACATAAAGGCAGCACATTCCTTTCCGGTTCCTATACTGCCCTCGTTACTAGCATAACTGGTAGTTTTGGCAGGTGCTTAGCTGCCATGTGTGATTTTTCTCTCTTATATGTATTCTATTAATTTCTTCCTTAAGTTATTTGGGAAAGAGGAATTGTGTATCCCTCCCTTCAGAGCTACCTTAATCAAAGCCTTACATATACTTCCAAAACTCATGTTGCATTATTTGATAGCATCTTCCAGAAGCTCCGAGTCAGATGAGAATACAAAGAGATGATGATTGGTCCTTATTATAAAAGTGAGCAGAATGCATGGGCAAACGTTGTGGATTACACACACTTCTGCAGTTACCTCCCATTCTCATTAACCATCACAAGTCTACCCACATCATCTCACATTAGTAGTGGTTATCGTGAAACAATGCAGCAGACTTTTAGTAGTGGGCCAGTGTTACACAGAACATATATTTTAGTGTGCCAACATAAAGATCTTGTTTCTAGCTCTGTTTTAAAAGTGCATGGCCATAACAAGCTGTTAGCAGCAATCACACCAGAGAACTGGTACAGGCAGACATGCAGGATTACTATACCTAAGGTAGGTGCACTTGCACTTCGACTGCGATCTTCAGATATCCAAACAATGCACATAACCACACGCAGCACAATGGGAGAGAATACGCAGAATGACAAGGTAAAACACAGATCAAAATTCACATTGGCAAAATACAAGACAAGGGGAGAAAAGTAACACAGACACATGCACCACACACAGCACTGAAAACACAAAGATTAAGATTACCCATACATTATTAATCCCTTCCTCACCAAAACCTAATATAACAAGACACAGCTTTGGGTAAAACAACATCCAAAAGATTTCCATCCGCATTGGAGCACAAGAAAGTAACAGATTGCATGTATAATTATAATTAGTTGCGTCTGGGCCTCTCAATACCCTGGTGAGGGAGATAAGTATTATAGACTAGTTTTCCAGATGGATACACCAGAGCACAGATAATGAAAGTGACTCTCTCAGATTCACAAAGTGAATTCACAGCAGAGCTAGGAACAGAACCAGGGTCCCATCTCCCTGCCCTCTAGTGTGACCACTGTACCCCACTGTTTTCAGCTAGTAAAAATTATTTTAAAATTGCTATTTTTGTTGCACTGCAGATGTTGTATGAAGAAATGGGCACAAAAACATCTTAAATGGTACAAGACAGCTGGTCTAATCATCAAAATAGTTTACAAGCAGGCCAATACATTTTCCTTTTATGTATGGGAGAAGACGAAATAGGCCATATGGAACACGGCTGAGGCTAAATTAACTCCCTGAGGTACAGGATTGGAATGACCATTAAGTAGCAAGAGTGGAAGTCTTATTTGGAATAAGGAAGCCATAATTCCATCTAAAAATCTGAAAGATGAAGGTTTTTCATTGCTTCTCTCCCAGAAAAAGTAAGAGTTGGGAGGATGTATCAAGTGCACACATTTTATTGACACTTTTAATAAAAGGATGGAAGACAACGCTAGTAGAGATGCTACAGTATATATAATATTGGATGTAGTACCAACAACTCTCATGATAAGATTAGGGTATTGAGCAGAGGTTGGAGCAGGATTAAAATGAATAAAAGTTGCTGCATTTCAGTACGGAAATTGTTGCTTTAAATTGCTGTATATTATTATTCGGGGTCTGAGGAGAGAGGTCAAGACAAGGGTTGAATTGAACTGCTATGCAATAGCATGGTACTTTCCTTGTGCAGCCATCAGTAACTCCAGTATGGCCTTTGGGTCAGATTATGGTTGGTTTTACCCTTGTTTGTGGTAGCTACAACATACATTAGAAAACCCCCCCTCTCTTATTAAAGATTTTTGTTCAAAACACACTGGAGATGCTTTCAGGAGCATAGTACCTACCCAAATTAGGTGCACTCGCTGTCCTCTTGTTATTTTTTATCTTGAAAAAGCCTCGTCCAAATGACGTTCTGGCTTTGCGGGTACCAAATCTGTCATCCTCTCCAGTACCACTATGGCTTGGAGATTTTGGAGGGAGGGTTCCGCATTTGTTACCTTCCACAGGAGCTTTAGTCTGATAAATTAGAAAAACGAAAGTTCAAAACTCAATCTTGCTGCACCATAAAAAGCATTTAATTGTACACAATCATTTCTGAAAGGTAACCTGGAAATAAAGATGCATTTGTACTGTAAAATAGAATATAGTGTATGTGTTGTGAGTCTAGATTAAATAAGGAAGATCTTCAGTTAAAATGTGTTCAGGATTCAGTTATATTCACTACCTCTTTAACAATAGCATTTCTGTACTAAATGTTTCAGATCTTGCAAAAGTGGCACATTAAAATAATAAATTAAGTGCACATTCTGCATTCAGCTCCCTCATCTTCCATTGAAAGTTTCTGGGGAAAAAGGAGGAGAAACAAGCACTTCACGACTGGCCAGTTCTCTGCAAATTGTCAGAAAGTTTCCATGAACCATGAGCAGTTTGCAGAGCACAGTATGAAAAAAATCACTGGACCAGCTACACACCTGCTGGCAGCAATTCCAGGCCCCGGTGCAGAACAGTCAGTGGGCCCCCATCCATGCGCAAGCTGTGCACAGGCGGATGTGGTCCGCCTGACATTTGGGTGGTGCTGCGCCAGCACTGGCTGGACTCCAGCGAGCTGATGAATGCACTGTCTGGGCCTGCTCTACTGTCATGGTCAGGGCTTCCACATGCCCACCCGGTTTCACCAATGTTGGCCCACCTGGGGCTCCTGGATGCTGCTACTGCAGCAGTGGCCGTGCATCCTTGTGCCCTTTTATATTGCCTGGCACCCCATGGCAATTGTCCTCTGCCCGCTCCTGTCATCAAGCCTGACTAGCAGCCTATTTCTATTCTCTAATTGAAAGAAACGGATGCAGCAAGCAAATGGCAGATGTGGTGGAGAAACATTAGTTTTGTCAAATTCTGGTAGTTTTGATAATCTAAGAAGATTTTTGTAATATTAATAAGCACATCTTTGTTGTTCATACTGGGTTTCTTAAACGTCTGATTTTTAACTTTTGATGGTCTCTGGCTAGCAAGGTAAACACATTAACATCTCAAAAGCAGCAATTATTTTGCTGAAAAACACAGTCATGACTATAAAAATGGTATTTCAGATTCTAGGATTCCTCCCTCTGACTTAGAACAGGAAACAGTGGCTGTATTCTAGTTAGTGGTTGGTAAACTGTTACTTTTCAATGGCAACCACTGTAAGAAGATAATTGCAACTCTGCTACAAAACAAAAGGCGAACTTGGAAGGTTTCTAATATAGAAACACACAAATTAACTACAAATTCTACAAAGCTAAACAAATCAGAGACCCAACGTTGTTAGTTTGTGGTGGAGCAATGTGTAACCTCACAGGTGGTAGGGATGGAGAACCTCTGTAGCCCTTGATCCTGGGCTGACAAGGGATGAGCAGGCTGGAGTAGTAGCACACACTCTGCCATTTGGAACAGAAGCTGCGTTTACTGTTCTGAAAAGAATCCTCTAGCTGGCTCAAGAGACACATACATGGTTTTGGCTGAAAGCACTGTGGAGTTCTACTTAGCCAGGACACCATACCAAAATAAGATGGTGTCTTTGGGAAGGGATGAGAATAAGTGAGGAAAGAAAATCAACCAGGAAACAGAGAGTCATTTGAAAATGCATGCTCCCAAGAGAAGTCAGGAAATGGGTGATTTTATTTATTCTCAGCAGGTCAAAATGAAGAACCATGTATGAGAAGACAAGAGCAAGTGGGAGAATATAAACTTGACACAAAAGTGATGGTGGAGACCCAAATATATTCCCTGAGATCACACTCCACAACCTCACTTACAGGTCTGCTGTTCTTCCTGAAAAATTCTGACACTGAACGTTAATAAAATGAGGCTATTTAAAACACCTTCTGCTCTCTGCATCACTTCACATAAAGACACACATAAAAGTTACCTCTGCTGGTTTCTGTAGGGGTTCTTTGTCCTGTTTGGAAAGGATTGAGAAATATTCATTGCAATTAAAAATAGTGAGATTTCTTTCCTCTTTTATTTTTCAAAAGAAATCATTTAAGAACTACATTTCCCTTAGAATATGTCACTTTTTATTTTCCTGACAGACAAGCCATTCTGTTTAGGTTTTGGATTTCATAATCTAGGTTTTCTTTAGGTGCTGATTTATTGATGACTTTGCACAACCAATATTAGCTTTAACCATATAAATAATTCTAATTTAGAGCTGGGAATAGCCTCTCTTTAAACATAGGGCAAATAAATTTTATGAGGTATAATTGCAGGTTTACCCTTCCACAGTGCTGAAAACAGCAGTGAGCCTAAACTATCGCTACTGATCTCAGTTTTGGATATAACATGATTCAAATTTACCCTGTTTAGTTCTGGTTCTCTTCTTGGCAGATAAAGATTTGTAAGTCTAAACAAAATTCACCCTCTCCTCTAGTTTCCTCCATGTCCATCTTTTATCCGTCTCTAACATGGGTCCCTGGTCTTTAACTTGCCCTGCTAACTTACATAACAATGGCAAACTGCCTTGTCTTTACTAGGGTAAGGTTACAACTACCTAGGCAACCTGAGTTAAGACTAGACCTTTATTATCTAGAGAGGACAACTTTGAAGTTCAGGAGATTTATTTATGGAAATATCTCATACAATAAAAGGATAGGCAACCCCTAAAGTATTCAGCAACAGATGTTTTCCTTCACTAATATCCACAGGATTCTGTTACAAAAGGGGCCATAGATAGCTGTAAATTGAATGAACAGAGATCTGTTCTGCTCCAGACCTCATCTGGGGCAGGCAGAGTTGGTGGAAGAACTAGCTCTATGCCACCTGAGACACCTCCCCACCCCCCCAGGAATTTTCAACTAGCCAACTCCATCCAAATTCCATTCCCTTGCACCACTCATGAGACCAGAACTGGAGTAGACCGTTTGGACCTCAGAATAGGAGGGAGGAGGGAGGGACTAAAAAACAAACCAACCACTTCTGATGTCTCTTTCTTCAAATTGCCCAGACTGCTGGATTTTTGCAGGGTTGAAGCTCTACAATAAGAACATAAAGATTAAAATGATTAGTAGTTGATGGAATGCATTGTCTCAAAGGCAAATGTATTTTAAAGAACTATATGAACTTTTTGGGTGTCTGGCTGATGAGTCTTGCCCACATGCTCAGGGTGTAGCTGATCGCCATATTTGGGGTCGGGAAGGAATTTTCCTCCAGGGTAGATTGGCAGAGGCCCTGGAGGTTTTTCGCTTTCCTCTGTAGCATGGGGCACAGATCACAGCTAGAGGATTCTCTGCATCTTGGGGTCTTCAAAGTATTTGAAGGCTTCAATGTCTGAGATATAGGTGAGAGGATTATTCTGGGAGGGGTGGGTGAGATTCTGTGGCCTGCACTGTGCAGGGGGTCAGACTAGATGATCATAATGGTCCCTTCTGACCTTTAAGTCTATGAGTCTATAAAGATTGTATTACAGCACTCCCTTGTTATTCCTCCCATGTGGTGGCTAGTTATTGCCTGGAGATCTTCCATAGCTTAATGACTGTTATGTTAAGGTAGAAGAGAATGAGCTAATGCTGGAGTAGCAAGAAATTCAACTCTGAAATTCTTTGCTTCTCACTTCATTACATTTTCCAGAAGATAGGCTGAAAATACACATCCAAATCAAGTGCTTGCAAGAGCCAAATTGCATGCATAACTTGCAAGCTCTTCATGTTTAATTTGTACATATGCATACATTAACAGCTTTGTACTGTTAATGCATGCATATTAATTCAAGCACTTTAGATGGATATTCAAAAATTCTCTATGACATTTCATTTTTAAGAATGGCATATACATTTTAAAAACAAAATAGTTATTTTTAAAGGAAAGTCCCTCAAGAAAAAAAAATCACTTATTTTGGGATGTCAGTAAGGACAGAGAAGAAACAGTGCTGGGAATCAAACCAGGAAAACGCACTATTTTTAGATTGAAAATAAATAAATAAAAGAAAACAGAAACTAGGAAATATTTTAGAAGAAACAATACTGTCAACAACAGGCTTTGCCAAATTTAATTTTAAGAAACATAGGTTATTAAGTCTCTCAGCTGCTTTTGAAAACATAACACTAAGTCCCATTTTCAGAAGAGACTTTCAATGAGTCGTATGTCTGGTATACATTATGAAGTTAGGTTGACATACCTGGCTTTGCATCCCTCAAACTGTGTACATGTCTACACTTTGTCTCCCACTGATGTACGTGCCCTGTTATGATGACATAGTAATATGGCTCCCCCAACCAGCACTGAACCATCATCTACGTATAGAAGAGCTACATCCCATCAACACTGCGGACACCGCTGAGTAGATTAACACCCAGACTCCTGCTATGAACAGAGAGGACGAGGGATGACAGAAGCCAGGATTGGTTTGAGATTCTACCACAGTCCAGTCACTTTAGCAGGGGTGAACCCAGTGCAGGGGAAGGAACCTCAGGTAAGTGTAAATGTATTTCCATGTACTGCTAAGTGCCCCCAACTTAATAGGATACAGCTATCGACTTTTCATTAATTTACTTGTACTAGAAGTATAACAGAGCGGCAGCACTATTTTCTTTTCATTTGCTGGTAAAGTTAGGGAAGAGAGGCCATGCAGAGCAGTTTTTAAGTGCCCCGCACACAGAGATGGTCCCTTGAATCTTCCTGAGAGATCTCAATGAAACCTTCAGGGAAGTTCTCTGCAGTCTTCTCCTGAATGTTTCCAAGGACGACAGCCATGTTTCTTCCTTTGCAGTAAGGTACTTTCACAGGCAATACCATTGGCCAGCACCACTGCAGTACAAGGCATAGCAGCATCCTTCCCCACCCAGGCAGCTCCGGGAGTCCAGCAGCAGCTGCACATACACTCTCTGTACCTTTGGCACCTTCTGGAGAGAGATGATAGCTAAAATCACCACTGCCTGTGGAAAATGGTGCCAGTACTCAGTGTCATTGGCCTATACTTGTAGTTTCATGCAATGCCTTCCTCATTTCCCTGACCCTGGTGCGCCCATACTCACCATAGCTGTGAATGGTGTCATACACCAGCATTCGTGTCAACAAGCAATTTTGTTTAAAACTTTATGGGAGCAAGTGAAGGGAGTTCTCAATCTCAAGTTTCACTTTCCACTGTAGACAATGGCACCCCTGTGTGTGCCATCTGGAGCTGCTGCCATTGCAGCCATGAGAGGTTTCACCTTCACACCCACGGAGTATCAGATCCAGATACAGAAGTGAAAGAAGAGGGGTTGGGATGACATGTTCAATGAGATCCTGCAAGCTAGTGCTGCATGAGATCACGAGCCAGGGGCTTGGATGGTGAACACTGCAGATACCATGGAAAAGGAAATAATAGAGGAGAAAGACCCAGGAGTCCCAGCAGGAAAAGGTAAGGAAGATGCACCAGGATATAACGGGGCTTCTCTGGTAGCAAACACATGCTGCAGACTGCCACAGACTGCCAGTTTCAACAATCACAGGCTCACTCCCCTTTGCAGTCCATGGTGTACTCCATTATAGCACTTCTCTACACCGCTCCTCAGTATTTTACCTGCCATCAGCAATCGTATTCTGACATCTATCACTCCACATTTAGAACATCAGGAAAACCACAGCTTCATATACACTGACATGGTTTTTTTCCTTGTTAATAAATTAGTGGAACAGAACTTAAGTTTTTAATGTATTTACTTTCAAATTGCAAAGATTTTTCTTTGCACTGGTTTTGTTAGTGAAAAAAATCTATTTGAAAAATAATGTGTCTATTAGTTTACAACATATGTTGCAGTAATGCCTAGCAGCTCTGAAACCACCCACTTATTTGTTACTGTAAAGAGTCAGACAACTCATAGGCTCGGTGGCCAAACAGCCTAATAATCAGAAATGTACATCAAACGCTACACAATGAATAGATGCACCGATAGTGTTGTATTCACAGATATGCACCAAGCACCTCACAATTTTTAACATGCCCCGAAAGCGTATGGCCAGGTTGAGCACAGTACACTACTATGTCTTAGGTTGGCTTGCTGTTGAAGTGCTCCTCCAAAGTATTCCAGAGCTGTATGCTCCACACTGAACTCTTCTAATAGCCCTGGCATCTGGCTGTTCGAACTCAGAAAACAGCTGCTCCACTTCCATTCTCAACCATGGTGGCAACTTTTGTCCCTTTGCTTCACAGATATTATGAAGGACATGGGATATTTTTCGCATGGTGATCCAATCTTGTAAATAAACAATGCCACGGTACCTCCAATCTTCCAAAAGCATGTTCAACTCTCATTCTGCACCTGCTGAGCTGACAGCTGACTCTTTCCTTGGTGCTGTTGAGGCGAGTGTTATGCATTTTCTTTGATCACCCCATACTGATGTCAGCAGAGCATCCCCCATAATCCAATAATGATCGCATAGTGCTAGAAAAGCAGCTCTCTCTCACTCTGTGGCATGTGCTCTAGGGCCAAAATAGGAACTTATGTCCCATATATTGTCTCACCACAGTTCTGGAACCCCACTGCTGCAAATCTATCTGCATACTGCCAAGAGTCACAGTGCTGCACAGCAGGAAACGATTAATGGCTCTGCATACTTGCATAACAGTGGCCCCACAGGAGATTTTCTAACTCCAAAACGATTTCCTACCGACAGGCAGTAATCTGACAATGCAGCTTCTCACAGCATGATCCCCAGGTTACTTCTCTACTGTCAGGGTAGCTCTCCTGGCGACCCCGCACTGGGGGCTAGGATAAGCTTGGCACACAGACTCAAGAATGTGGCCTTGCACATCCAAAAGTTCAGTAGCTTCTGATCATCCTCCCAAGCTCGCAGCACAATGTGATCCCATAAGTCGCTGCTTGTTTCTTGGGACCGGCAGTGGCAGTCTGCCATCTATAACTACTCCAAGAATGCCACCAATCTTAAACTGGTTCTCAATATGTCCCTCAGCACAGTGTCTTCCAGGAAATGCTCATGTGCTCTACTGATCTGGTTCCTCTTACAGCTCTACAAATACTGAAGGATCATGCAACTTGCACTAGCTACAGTTATAACGTTAGTGTGAGCTGTGACGGCGCCATGCATCTTTCAGAGATGGCAGACAACAAGGAGTTCCGAATGGGTTTGTGGATTTTTTTTTTCCTTAAAGCTCAAAAGTTATGGGATATGAGGTGGAAACTGTTACATGTTGGGAAGCTGACCCCTGGCTTTCAGGCACCCCAGGTGATTCATTTGTGGCCCCCACCAGGGACTGATGGTGAGTTGTACAACAGGATACTTACTCCTGGTGCACTGAACTATACATCGACACACACGTTCCTGGTGAGCATGTGCAGGGTTGATGCAAGGAGACTAGGATGCATGGAAGCTAGGAGACTAGGATGCTTTACGCCCTTTTTCATCAAATAACTTACGTGTATGTTAAACTTAGAGCAGGAAAGCAATCCCGCTGATTTCAGTGTGTGGTAAAGGTAAGAGATGTCCGAGTCAGAACTACAACAATGGCTAACCGTCGCAGGGAGCCATAGCCTGTAATACCTCTGAGGCTGGTATAGGGGGCTCTGTCTGTGAGGTGGAGTGTTTTCCATATAAGGGCATGTAAATTAATAATCTTCCCCTGCTCGCTCCACCATTGCAGTGAAAGATCAGCCAATGGGCTGACTTGTGCTCAGGCCTGCTACTCCACCCACTGCAGCAAAAACCAACCTATGGGGTGATAAGTTCACAGGCAATAAAACAGGCAGGCAGCCCCTCTCTCACTGGGGATTTGCATCGAGTGAACGCCTGGCCTGATCACCCAGACGCCTTGCACCCCCCGCTCTTGAGTCTTACTGAGCGTACTCCGAGTTGGTCGACCCGAGTGGAGACAGTTTATGAGCATGTGACTGGTACTTGTGTTCCTGCTGTCTCCAGAACTGGTATAACACCCGCCCCCCCGCCATCATCCCTATCCTAATTGATTTTTTAGTTGTCCTTATTGCTTGTCAAGTGACAGTGGCTAAAAAGTTACTAAGTTAGTTTATAAATAGTTGTGGTTTAGGTCTTTTACTGCTTCCTTGTATAAAGTTGTGTAAATAATCAGCCCTATGGACAATACCAGTGTTAATTCAACTGTTCCTAACCCCTGGGCAGTTATTGGGAATTATTGTGATTTAGAAAAGCCTCAGGGAATTGTTTTGTGTTGTCTGGCAATCTGTTTAATTTTTGTTCTGATGATTGTCTGGCGTCATCAAAATAAAATCAGTTTGTGCTTTTTAAAACCCCCCAGTTGTGGTCTCATCCTTTCCAGCATCCCTTCGAACCTCGTGTATTACGGGGACTGACAAGAGACAGAGGCTAAAATTAATTTCCCACAATGAATCCCTTTAGCCAGCCAATGTCCCTTTGCCATTACTACAAAAGGCAACCATAAGGCATGTGTACATATGAAACAATTATAAATCCCCAAGCCTACTATTGTTACATGACTTGACTGAAGACATTTCATATTACAACAGAAATGAGATGCTAGTACACATTTCTAGAAAGAGCATTAGAAATTATTACAGGAAATAGGCATCCACCTTAAAACAGTCAGAGCAGAAAACCATCAACCTCACCAAATTATTTTAAAATGATTTCACATGGTTAGAATTACTATACACATTTTTGTGTGATCATTAAAAATATGGTAGAAAGGTGTCTAAGCAGAAGCATTTCATTAGTCGACTCAGTACTTACAATGGACTGTCACATGGCTGTGTTTCTACAGAGGAACCTGGTGTTTTACCTTCACTGTAATGAGAAAAAGTACCACATTATAAGATACCTAAGAAACCTAACAATACAGAATTGATACATAATTCCTATCTTGTCAGCTAGTGAATTTTAACTCTCTCTTTTAGCCTGAATGACAATATATTACCACAAATCACATCTTTCCTTCTGCTAGAAGGGTAGGTGTGAACTCAAGTAGTATGACAAAGACCTTCTACATCATTGCAAGCACCACAGGCTAATCAACATATTCAGGCGTTGGGTCTGAGTAAATGAAGAGGTCACAGCTACAAGTGGCAAAACAGCAAGAAAAAATATGCAAACCAGTGGAAGAGTGGGAAGGAAGGAGGGGGAAGAGAGCAGAGAAAGACAGAGTCTGATTCAGAAAAAAACAAACAAAAAACAAAAAGCCACCAAGCAAAAGTGCAGCCCTGGGTGGAGATACTTTCCTGTATCAGAGCCAAAGAAAGCACACTTCAACACTTGCCTGCTGTAGTTTACACACTAAGCTGAAAGGCAGTCTTATATCAACAAGAATTCATGGCATTTGGACTCCTAAATCTGATATTACTATGGATAACAATAATGGTTGAGATCTTCAAAAGCCAATTAAGGACCTCAGCCAAACGGCTCCCATTAGCTTTAGCTGGAGTTCTGCAGTTAAAGCTATAATCATCAAGTTGGCTTTAAAAAAAGGTCAACCAATGCTCCTCATTAAAATCTGCGCTCACTCCAGACTAGGAAAACACAATTTCATTGTCATATGCCAAGCCTCAAGGAAATCTATTACTCAGACTTTTTGAAAATGAGATTCATCTTCCTGATAGCTTAGTTATGACTCTTGTGATCAGTACTGGTTAGCCACTCTCAGTTTCCAGTTGGTTTTGGCAGTGCTTTGCACAGTAATTTTTAGTAACCATGGAAAACCTTCATGTGGAAATCACTTACAGCAAATTCATACTATACATCATGATGTTGCATCTAAAACTAAGCTATTTGTATAAAAAAGTAAAAAAACCTTTTTGTTTGCTGAAAGAGGGGGACAGTGATCACGAACAGTCAACATGGATTCACCAAGGGCAAGTCAAGCCTGACCAACCTGATTGCCTTCTATGACGAGGTTAACTGGTGCTGTGAACATGGGGAAGTCAGTGAATGTGATATACCTTGGCTTTAACAAATCTATTGATACGTTCTCCCACATAACTCTTGCCAGCAAGTTAAGGAAGTAGGGATTAGATAAATGGACTGAAAGGTGGATAGAAAAGAAAGCTGGCTGGATTGTCGGGCTCAGATGGCAGTGACTTGATGTCTGGTTGGTGACAGGTATCAAGTGGAGTGCCCCAAGAATCGATTCTAGGGCTGGTTTTGTTCAACATCTTTATTAATGACCTGGATGAGGGGATGGATTGCACCCTCAGCAAGTCTGTGTATGACACTAAGTTAGGGGGAGAGGATGGAGGATAGGGAAAGGGTCCAGAGTGACCTAGACAAATTGGAGGTTTGGGCCAAAAGAAATCTGATGAGGTTCAACAAGGACAAGTGCAGAGTCCTGAACTTGGGACAGAAGAATCCCAAGCATTGTTACAGGCTGGGGACCAACTGCCTAAGCAGCAGTTCAGCAGAAAAGGACCTGGGGATTACAGTGGATGAGAAGCTGGATATGAGTCAACAGTGTGCCCCTGTAGCCAAGAAGGCAAACGGCATATTGGGGTACATTAGGAACAGCATTTCCAGCAGATCTACAGAAGTGATTATTCCCCTTTATTCTGCACTGGCGAGGCCACATCTGGAGTAGTGTGTCCAATTCTAGGCTCCCCATTACAGAAAGGATGTGGACGTACAGGAGAGGACCCAGCTGAGGGAAACAAAAATTATTAGGGGGCTGGAGCACATGACCTACAAGGAGAGGCTGAGGGATTTGGGTTTGTTTAGTTTGTAGAAGAGAAGAGTGAGGGGGGATTTGATAACAGCCTTTAACTACCTGAAGGGAGGTGCCAAAGAGGATGGAGAGAGGCTGTTCTCAGTGGTGACAGATGGCAGAATGAGGAGCAATGGTCTCAAGTTGCAGTAGGGGAGGTCTAGGTCAGATATTAGGAAAAACTATTTCTCTAGGAGGGTGGTGAAGCACTGGAATGGGTGGTAGAATCTCCATTGGGCAGGGGGCTGGACTGGATTACTTCCTGAGGTCTCTTCGAGCCCTAGAATTCTATGAGTCTATGATTTTTTTTAATGGGACGTTCGTTACCCCAGAAGAGGTTATGTTTTGTTTGTCATTTGGCCAGTAGGCTAAGCAACAGATGCAAAATTGGTAGGAGGGTGGTGAAGCACTGGAATGGGTGGTAGAATCTCCATTGGGCAGGGGGCTGGACTGGATTACTTCCTGAGGTCTCTTCGAGCCCTAGAATTCTATGAGTCTATGATTTTTTTTAATGGGACGTTCGTTACCCCAGAAGAGGTTATGTTTTGTTTGTCATTTGGCCAGTAGGCTAAGCAACAGATGCAAAATTGGT